GCGAGAAACATATTGAGGGACTGTTGCTGCCCTTCATTTTTCGGCTTGTTGCCGACAAGGGGAAAGAGACAAGGCAAGTGCGGAAAATTTGAAAAAAAAGAGAAGTTGCATGAAAAAAAAAAATTGCAAGAATAAAAAGAAACAATAAATGTCTAAAAAGGCCTTTGATCCTTTTGCGTAGAGATTGATGGCACTGGAGGGAAGGATTGAGATGGAAGAGATTCCTTCATGCATCAAAGGCCTTGGGATGCGGGAATGGGGGTAGGGGAAGGGAGACAGGCATCTTCAATGTCACATAAGAGAATCACGTTCAGCGATCACGTGAAAGTAAATCCTAGCGTTCTGTACGTCCTATAAATCTTCTCAATTGCATTTGCATAGGCTGCGGTGCGAATATCGAAGCCCAAGTTGTATTTGTGTGCCGTATCGATCACTGCTTGAGCTGAAAATATTACCATTTAAAACAAGAGAAATCCGCCATCTATCGGTACAGTTCAAGCTTGAAGCAGACTCCTGCCTTACGGTACACTGTGCGCTGTCAGTCCACGCCCCGCAGCTCTCCTTATTTGGATTGGCTGTCTCTCACTGTGCAGCGAGAAGGGCAATCTGCGATTCGATCGATCGTTTCAGTCGTAACTTGTTACTGGAATATGTCGGAGGGCCAGAATGGCCAGAAGCCGAGATATGTTCGAGCAGCTCTCAGATGAGAAAGCACTGACAGCATTGCTAGCGAGTGGTTGCTACTGGCACATGTTGCTACTAGTCGGATACTTGCAGCCTTCGCTTTCCACAGAGATTGAATACTGCATGGATTTTGACTTTACAGTACTGCCGTATGTGCCAGCAGAGCTGGGGTCTACCTTTGCTTTTTCTGGACGACTAAAATGCAGCGTCGCGTTTTGATGAGGATGTTAGCTGTAGGGAGTATTCTGAGCACATTATGTTAGAGTACCATATCTCGCGGGCAGTAAAAATGCTTCGATTAGCAAAGAATGCAGCGACGATGATTTACAAACAGTTTAGCAAAAACCATGAAAAAGATGAGAATCATGATAAAGCATGAGATACCGGAACGCTGCATAGAATACTCCAGCCCAGAATGCACGATGTCCTTCTCGGAGGCGCCCGATATACGATTTTTGAATTCAACGGTCGGCTCAATCTTGATATCCTTGTGTAGCGACCGTTTCAGCGATTCCTGCACGCTATCTACAAGCAAATGCAAATATTTGCTTTGCTAAACTCACTTATATAGTCTAAGCATAGTTCGATATGCCTGAAATGAACTGAGAAGTCAACAAGTCCCATTTTCGACTTAGAGAGAACATTGAGAGCAGGCTTTGACTAATTCTATGCGTTCCTGATAACGTGCTACGTATCTTGTCGCCATTAAGCAAACAAATATCGAAATATGCTAACATTTCGTCCGGCAGCTTTGGTATACGGTACTATGAAAAGAAGTGCTAAAAACAGGCGCGAAAGGGCACGAATTAGTACACACAAATCTCATGGAGAACAAGGGAACCAGTCGGTTTGTTAGATCCAAAACAGTCTTTGGTTCTTGTAGTATTAAAGCGTGTGCAGTTTTGATTTACGTTTGTGAACTAAATGGCTTCTAGTGTAAAAGGAATTTTAAAGATTTAACTACTTCAGCTTGCAAATGTTGTGCGGGAACTATCTAGGTTAACCTTATTTTTAACAGACCGATGACCCCGACCACTGGTCTAGCCCAAAGAAATCCTGTAGCTAAAACGCTTTTAAAAAAGGAATAATTGCTTACCCAATAAGTGATAATTGGAGTCCTTTTCGTACTTGAACGTGAGACGTCCATAGCTCACATGATTCAAATCCTTCAACCATTCAAAGTACGAGACAATAACACCGCCGCCATTGACGAACAGATCCGGAACAATGAGGCAGTCGCCACGCGCCAGCAATATTTTATCTCCTGCTGGTGTGGTCGGACCGTTTGCTGCTTCTGCAACCACCTGAAATGAGCCTTTTTCGTTCGATAAGCACATGGGGCTTCCAGTCCTCAGTATTTTTCAGTATTTTTTGGAAAGACAAACTAAATAACTGGGCATATGTGAACAGATATCAAAGTCACTTGGTCTTACTTCAAGTAACCTAATGGCTTTTGTAAAATTTCTAGAAATATGGGCCCTATTGGAGATCCAGGAACAGTAGTAGTACCTTGGCTTTGATTTTCCCGGCATTCCCTTTGTGGATGACTTTCTCGCATGCTGCCGGCACCAGAATATCACATTGCTCGTACATGAGGTCTGTGTGTGGCTCGTAAGCTTTGGCTTTTGGATATCCCTGCAATGCTCAGTTCATACCAAATGCTTCAAATCATCAAAATTAATGCTTGTTCGGCCTTAGTTCTGACAAATACACATCTACAATAATGAATTTTGAGTGGCACCTTAATAGTGCCGTGTTCGATGAGATAATCCTCAAGTTCGCGTGGATGAATACCGTCCGGATTGTAGATCGAACAATCCAACTCCTGCACACCAATACATTTGGCTCCCGATCGGTGGAAATAACGAGTCGTGTGTAAGCCTACATTCCCGAATCCCTGCAATACGCTACTTTGTTGATGCTTCTGCTTCCATCATAAGTTATCGCTGAAACACTAACAACCAGTACGATACTTTTGAGCTTTTCGGGTCTGTCGCGCCAATTAAATTTAGAACGTTAGCGAGGTCTGCAACATCGGAAGATGCACCAGAAACGGGCGCTCTTCTGATTTCAGATTACAAATCACGGCTCTGTGCTGCTAGCA